ACCTGAGACAGCAGCACAATGCATGTGCAATTAAACCTACTCGGTTTGGGAGTGTTAATTGTCTCCTCTCCGGTGTGAAGTGTTCAGTATCTTACAATGCAGTGATTTTACCGATTTTTTCAGTGGCTGTATTGTGAGAAACAAAACCCATTTCTGTAATAGAAAAGGTAGATTAAGTCTATTAGCATCAACTTCTGTACCATTTTGTTCACTCTGTACTCACAGGAGAAAAACGGTGTCAAGGCTCCTTTTCTCCTTCTTCCTCACTGCTTGAATTTTAGCTTTACCATCAATCTTTTCACACAAACTTTGTAAATTCTCATCTTTCTACCCCAGCTCTCTGTTGACAGCTGTCACACTGTGTAAACCACCACAAGAACCCTCCTGAGCCGAATGAGAACAAGATCTTGTCCATCACTCAGGACTGCTTTCACACCCACTTTCATCCTTCCCCCCATTTTCTCAGCCCTGTCATTGCAGATTTTACCCCGAGGCAGGCAGTGGCTCCCTTCTGCTCCAGCTTCTGCTGCCACAGCACCTTTCCCTCCTGTTCCCTACCCTAAAAACCTCTGCCTGCTCCATCCCTCTTGTGCACTGTTTCTGCCCCCTGACACTCCTCTTTCTATCTGGCTCGAATTTCATCCCCTCCGGTGCCAAATTCCAATTTCTAAACTCTGCCCAAATGGTTTTCCATACTGTAATTATGGACTGAGTACCACCATCATGGCTGGCAATGTTCCCAGCTGGAAACTCCTTGGTATTTCTGCTCTTGGGGAACTCTCTGTGCACCTCTAGCTCCACCCCAACCTTATCTTATCTTGTAAGTATACCCAGCAAGATATAAACTAACTCAGATACTTTGACTTGCTCCCAGAGTTCAGGACAGGGAATGATGCCCAACAGCCTGTTCAGTTCTCCTGTCTGGATTGCAAGTGTCTGTGTCTGAGCTGTTGTGTCCTTTGCACAGATCTTTGTGTTGTGTTCATTCCCTTAAGTATCTATCAAATATCATTTCTATCTCCAGCTGCATTATCATGTCTCACTACACTCAGTTCCTCCAACATTCAGACAGTTCTGCTTACTCAAATACAGCCCCTAGAGTAGGTCTGTGGGTTGTTCTTCTGGAGCTGTTGTATTTTTTGTGTTAAGTGATGGCTAAAAAGTGGTCAGTCGTAAGGAACAAATAAAATAGTGTTGAAATAGGAAGGTGCTCAGGTTTGGGGCTGTGTATTTTAGGCAGGAGCAGACTGGCTCAAGCAGCCATGAAGTTAATTGAGAGTTTCTGAATACGGTCCTGACTTAGCAACGTTTCAAAATGTTTCCCAATATACTTCAGTGATTGTGCCATCAGAGAAAAAATATCTGCTCTTGGAAGGCAAAATGATTTTGTTATAGGAAAACCAAACCAGCTCCTTTGCTTTCCTTTCTTGAGACAGACTCCACACGTGTCTCAGAGAACTCTCAAAGCACCTCAGTTCTAGGGGCTCTTAAATGCCAAAGCACCAGCTTTAATTTCAAAGTTTTGTGTATTTTCTGTTTTTTTAAAATTTACATTTCCATAAAAAAAGAAAAGACTGTGTCTTACTGACTTATGACCAACGATGTGAAGATGCCATGGAAGCACCCAGTGAAACCCAGGTGTGACTTGCAGTGACAAGCAAAGCATTTCTATGAGCCACTGAGCCAGAAAGTCTCAAAGCAGCCTCAGAGACATAATAAAATGTCACTAAATTCTTCACAAACATGATTTCAGTGAATTGTGATAAACAGCACGTACAGACTGTCAGGACACCAGTCAATTGAAAATGCAGGAGATCCTTGAGTTACATAAAGTCTAAAGAATTGACACCTAATTGACACTCTGAAGAGGTGACAACTGTTCACTGCTTCTATACTTCAGGGGAGGAATCAAATGGACTTTCCTTTCTAGCATTGTGAGGCTGAACTCCAGTGTGTCACTGAGCCAGAAAGAGTGTGAATGCTGAGGATGGAGGGAATTACACTTTACTTCATCCTCCAAGTGCTTGTGTCTTTCTGAAGTAACAAAAGCCATCCATCCCTTTCACTCCTAGAGGGTTTTTTTATTGTGCTATAGAATTCATCCTGGTTTGTTGAAGAGATCTACGTGGGCTCTTGTCCTGATCCAATGTTCTGCTGCAAAGTGGAACATCCAGTGTCTCTGCACAGTTGTGTGCAGAGACATGGGGAACACCCATGCACATGGCTCATCAGAAAGACCACAGCCCTGCCTTTGGGTGCTGCCTTAGGGTGTTAACCCAAAATGTGAAGGCACGTGGCAGGGATTTTTGGGGCTATCCTGTGCAGGGCCAGCAGCTGGACTCGATGGTCCAGGTGATGCCTTCCAGCTCAGCATATTCTGTGGTTCTGTGACAAATTCAGATTTCAGAGCGTGGCATTGCCTAACTCACACAGCTCCTCTGTCACCTCACAGAACTCCCTGATCAATGCCACTGTCCCAGTCCATGGCAAGCTCAGCAAAGGGTGTCCCAGGGAGGCTCCCACATGGCCATCGCCTCACACGACGCCTCCTTCCCTCCCTGGGCTTGGGCCCTGCCAGCCCCGGCCAGGCTGCGATGGGCACAGCCCCATAGCCACGCAGGGACTCAGCGGCTCTGCCAGTGCCACCTCCCTGCTCCAGCAGGGCCACCCCAGAGCACAGGGCACAAGATTGTGTCCGGACTGGTCTGGAATGAGGCTCCACAACCTGTTCAGGGCTGGGCACTGCCCAGGGCAGAAGTTGTGCCTCCTGTGCAGGGCAATTGCTGGGCTCAGTCCCTGCCCTTGGCTCTGGTGCCATTGCTGGGCCCCGGAGCAGAGCCTGCCCTGCACTGCCCCTCCCTGCACCCAGGGACACCCAGGGCTGAGGGCCCCTCTCCAGGCCGAACAGCCCCAGCCCCCTCAGCCTTTCCTGGGAGCAGAGATGCTCCAGGCCCTTCAACATCCTCACAACCTCCGACGGACGGGCCCGGACCGCCTCGAGGCCGGCTCGAAGGCGCGTCGGGCGGGGGCGGCAAGGCGGGCCGGGCCAGGCAGGAGGGGCGGCCGGGCCGGGTCGGGCCGGGTCGGGCCGGGCGGTCCCGGGGCCCGCGGGGGCGGAGCGGGCGCGGCCCTGAGGCGCCGCCGCCGCCGCACGAGGCCCGCGCGCGCTCCCGGGGCCGTCCCGCGGTCACGTGCGCGCCCCCCGCGGTCACGTGCCCCGCCCCGCTCGCGCCCCCGCCCCGGCGGCGGCGGCCCCTCAGGACGGGATGTAGTCCCGGCCGGGGGCGCGGCGGAGGGATCCCCGCGCCGGACCCAGCCGCAGGGCGCGGCGCCTCCTAGCGGGGCCGGGGTAGATCCCGCCGCCGCCGCCGCCATGGCCGCGGCCGTCCCGGTGCGCCCCGCGGGGGCCCCCCCGCGGCGGGGCCGTGTCAGCGCCCGGTGCCGCGGGCGCGGCGGGGCCGGGACCGCCGGGACCCCCGGGGCTCCCCCGCCCCCCCGGGGCGCGGCCCCCTCCCCTCCCGCCGGACAATGAGTCCCGTATGCTAATGAGGGTCTGGCGTCACTTCCGCTCTTTCTCGGCCGCCATCTTGGCCCGGGCAGGCTCTGGGCAGCGGGACCCGGCTGTATTGTCTGAGGGGCCCGGGCGCTGCCCCCGCCCGCGCCCCCGCCCCGGGCACCCGGCCCAGTGACCGCCGCCCCCGCCCCCGGGGCCGCTCCGCACCGCCCGCCCCGCACACTGCACCCCCACCCCCGTCATTTCCCCCTTTGTCTCCCCCGCGCCGCCGGCGGCTCCGCTCCGCCCGCCCGCCCCGGGACCGGGCGGCGCCGGGGAGGGTCCGGCGCCCCCCCCCCTCCCGCCCCAGCCCGCCCTCGCAGCGAGGAGAGCCCGGTCAGGTAGGTGCGAGCGCGGGTCCGCGGTGCGACCCGGGCGGGGACAGCGCCCGACCGCCCCCTCCCTCCCCCGGGCATCCCGCGCCGTGCCCGCCGCCCTGCCCGCCGCACCGGGCGTGCGGAGCTGGCAGCGGCCCCTCCCCGCCCGCACACATGTTGAGGAGCCCCGGCGGCTGCGGGGAACGCGGCGCTGCTCCCTCCCCGCCGCCGGCCCCGGCCGCCTCCCTTCCCGAAACGGACGTGTCCCGGCAGCCCGAGGGAGCGGGACCTCGAGCCGCCGGCCGGCTACGGCATCTCCGTGTGCAGCTGCACCGGGCCCCGCCGGCGGAGTTGGAGCTGGAGCGGCGCTGGGGATGCGATGAATGGGAGCAACCGAGGGGTCCCTGCCCGCGGGAAAAGGCGGGATCCGCCGCTGCCATCCCGAGCCGCGGCTGCGGGATGGAGCGCCGTTACCTCACCCATCCCTGCCCCGGGCTACAGTTACCGACACCCGTTCCTCAGACAAAGGCGGGGGACACCGAACCCGGAGCCTCGCAGCCACACCGGACAGACACCCCCGTGCCACGCACCCCCTTCCCCCGGCAGCTGCGGCCCGAGCGGGGGTTCCAAAGCAAGCAGCAGTGCGTGCTCAGTGCTGGGGTGTCCGGGCACCCCCGGTACCTCCCGGCAGCGGCCGCGGGTGTGACACCCCCGGCCCCCCCGAAATGCACCGCAGCCCGGCCGGGGCGCTGTGCGGCGGCAGCCGGCAGGGGGCGCCCTGCGCGCCGGGCACCGCTGCGGCGGGAGCGGGGGGGGGGCACCGGGGGCTCGGACCGGGACCGGGACTGGGACCAGGACCGGGACCCGGGCACCGCTCAGAACGGGGTACGCGTGTGCGGGGGCTGACCCAGCTCTGGGCACGTGGCTGCAGCCCCCGGTGTGGGGCAAGCCTCGAGGGGCTTTGTCTGGGACCGCAGGGCAGAGCCCCCGCTAGCCGCTGGTTGCTGTTTGTTGGGTGTATTTAAGCTGTTTGTTAGGTGTCAAAGAGGTTTGCATTCCTTATAGAGAAAATCCCCTTTTTCTTAAGTTGTGGCTTTCTCCTAGCTATGTTTCCATTTATTTTTGCTGCTATTTTCTATTTCTGTTTGGAGGTGTGAGGGAACGGAGGCAGAGGATTCCCACCTGTCAGGGTAGAATGGATAGAATGGACCGACCCTAGCTGGCTGCTGTGCAGCTCAGCCCTGGGTGCCCCAGCACTGCTCCCTCCTGCAGGGTCTCCTACTCGGGAAAACTTTCACTTCAGGACTCTGCAAACTCATAATCACAAGTTGTCATCCGTCTAGGTGAGAGAGATGGATCAGTCTGCTTAAGAAACAGAAAAGCCTTTTTTTTCTGCTTCTAATAACAAACCAAACCAAAGCTTCGTTCCTTTGCAGATGTGCAGTTGCAGATGTTGGGCAGTAATTTGATATCAGTAGATGGACATCTACCATGATTTGTGCTGAAATCTTAGAAGAGACAACAGAAGAGAAACACCCTGTTGTTAAGAGAATTGCACCAGATACTGATGGGCTGTAACATAATGGTTACCTTTCCTGAAGATGATTACAGCAAATACTTCCAACTTAATTGTAAATAGAAGTGTCCTTTTTGGCACACAACAAATAACTTGTTCTCCAAAAGTGACACTAAACTAAATGTTTCTGCACTCTTTTTGGTGGTTAGCTGCCCTTAGCTCAACTTAGTGTTGTTTCTTAGTTAGCATTCAAGAGTGACTTTTTGGTATCCAGTAGACAGGAGATGCTCCCAGGGGACATCTCTGAGATCATCGAAAACTGATATAGTTTTAGTGGCCCATTACTAAATAGAAATTTTTTAAATTGAAGTGCTGGTTCATCAGACAGGTTTGTAGAAGGCATCTTTTAGGGTAGCACTGTTTATGCTTCAGGGATATTGTCATGAGGAGCCTGTAATTCACTCCTGTTCGGCTGTTGGATGTGCAGGGGGTGAGGAAGGTGAAAGGTGACTCCTTTGCCTGTAGGTGAGACAGACAGGTGTCACAGCTGGGAATGAAAAGGCTGCACAGGAGAGGAACTTCCTGCCTGCTTTGGAAAGTTCATGCCCTGCAGTGTTAAGCATCAGCTGCACAAACACAGCGCCCAGGAACGGGTGTGTGCTGCTCAGGCTGACAGGAGGAACCTGATGGGTTTTCTGTGTGTGTAGGGCAGAAGTTGCCCGTGGCCACAAGTGCTCCCTGGCACTGCCACTGGTCCCTGACATTGCCACAGCGTGTGAGTTCACTGTGAACTCTCATTTATTGGTGCTGCAGGGAAACGCAGGACACGTGTTCTGGGGCAGGTGAGTTGTGCTGCTCACACGCTGCATGGTGAATAATGGGTGATTATTCCAGCTCAGCTTTACCACTCTGTAATAACATCAACACTGAAAGTAAACATTGACGTTTACAGTAGGATTCCTGGAACACGGAAGCATATCAGAATCTTATCAGTAGTCACAAGTCATACAGTCCAAATGTATATTTTATAGCTTGTTATTAAGATGGCAGCTGATTTGATGGATGCAAAGAAAGAAATTGAAACAAGTGATTTTGTGGCAGCAAGGTGCTCTTGGGTTCTTGTTTCTTTTGAGGTGGCTGCAGTTAAGATTTAGCAGCTCAATAGGAAATGCATTGGGGTGGTTTTTGTGGGGTTTTGTTTTTAGAAAGGGGAAGTTATCTTTGCTCCACTATTTGAGATGTTTAAGGGAGACAAAATTCCGTTGGGAATGAACAAAGCAGTATCAGATCTGAGGAGGACCAGTAGGAGAGGTGCCAGGAGAGACAGGGAACACCTCTGGGGCAGCAGCTGCTCCCTGTGTTTCACAGGTGCCATTGGAGCTGCTCTACCTGCATGGGCAAGATTGAGGAATTTTTAGAAGTCATAAGTTCAGCTGAGTTTGTATATTAATAATGCTACATTTAGTGGGATTATTTTCTTTAAGATGCATGCAACATGCTTGTTTAAAAAGGCACCAGCAGACTATGCTGGCCTATATCTAAACAAGCATCACACGATTTTTTTTTTGTATATTGACTCAAGAACTGCTCTGTGTCTATATTTTATATATATATATAGGGTATGGTTTCTATAAACATAATTGTAACAGCATAATTTTTAATGTGGACATAGTTCTGCTCATATAAATAAATCTGTAGCTAGAGGTGTTTCTTCATAGTGTAAGAGATGGAGATGGCTCTGAGTTTCTTTGCATTGGGAGAACAAGAACCCTTGTTGATGTTAATTTAGTTTTATTAAAAGTAAATCCCATACTTTCAGTATATGTGGGAGGTTTATTTGCCTCACCTGCACATTAGGGAAGAATGCCCTTGCTTTCCTAGGCAGGATGGCCAAATTGGCTGTTCCTTTTGAGCTTTCAGGAGGAACTTAAGTCTGGTTTAAAAATCAGACGGGTGTTCCAGATTTGAATTAAAGCTTCTTGGAAAGGGTGTAACTCCTGTTTATCTACCTGAGGGCCGTGTCCCTCCAGGCAAGAACTGCATTGTTCACAGCTTCACTGCAGCTCTGGTGTCAAAAGGCAAACTGGAGCTTGTATTTAGTGTCTCTGATTTCTCTGTAGTGCTCTTGAATGTGAATGAGAACTGATGGTTTGGAGTAAGACTGGAGTAAATGCCATTTTTTTCTGCAGTGAGTCACTGTCAGTAACCGACATTTATGTCTTTACTGTTGTTTGTTTTGTTTTGTTTTTTCAAGGTGGCATTAGAGATTATTTAGATGAAAACTGACAGTGGCTGTTGATTCCAAGGCCTGTGTAGTTGACCCTCTGGACACATCACACCTGCAGATGTATGCAGATCACATGGCAAAAATCTTTCATTTAATATTTACTTCTCAAGTAATATCTAAAACAATTTACAAGAAACAAAAATAAAGCAACTGTGTGAGCAGCTGTTCCCTGAGGGAACTCCAACTCCTCCAGTGCTGCAGGTGGAGGAAAGGGCTCCTCTCAAGCCTGCCTTCACTGTTGGCTGTTTCTTCCCTGCCCCAGCTCCTCTCCAAGGTCTCAGCCAATGCTTTCTTTCACCCTGTTCTCTCTCTGTGTGCACTGATTTCTGATGGGACTCTGGATCTCACAGTTTGTGCTCGTGCTGCAGCTGGGCCAAGGAAGCTGTTGGTGATGCAGCTTCATAGCAGCAATAGTCAGGGGACAAAATGGCTCTGGAGATGTAAGTGGGCAAGAGAGCGGTCTTAAAATGTTTTTTTTCACCTAAATAGTCAAAATCAAGTTTGTGATCTTCTTTTCTGTTTTGTTTCCCCATTGCTGCTATGAAGCCCTTTGCCTGTTGGAGGTTCCTGAGGCAGATGGAAGACAGCAGTAGCTGAGGTGGACTAACGCTGGAATGTAGGCAGGGATTGGAGCCCTTGGGAGCTGTGCTTAGACAGGAAGGGAGAGAGGTAAGAAATGTGCAGTGTAAGACTCATCTGAAGCTCGTGTTTACAGCCTTTCCCCGTGGTGTAATGGCAGCGTTTGTGCCTCGCGTGTGTGAAGTGTAAGGCAAGGGAAAACAAGCAGCACCAGCCTCCTTCAGTGCCTATTTTTACCCTTGGAAAACTCAGATGCAGCCAGTTGGCGAGATCCCTCCAGTGTGTGATGGATCTGCTGTCTGAGACAGCGTGGATTGGCAGGCTTTGGATGAGCTGGGGAAAGTATTCGTGTGCTCTTTTGTGTGCTGGTTTGTGCTGCCCCTCACACACAGCCATGCCTGGGGCTGCTGAGGGTGCAGCAGGGCTGCTCTGGGTGTGAATACCTGAGTGTGTGTGAGTGTGTGTGCTGTGTGTGTTTATCTGTGTGTCTGTGGTCTGTGTGAGTATATCTCTGTTGTGTCTGTGTGTGTATGAGTGTTTGTCTGTGTGTGTTTATCTGTGTGTGTCAGGGTGTGTGTGTGTGTCAGGGTGTCTGTGTTCTGTGCTCTGTGTGTGTCAGGGTGTCTCTGTTCTGTGTGTGTCAGGGTGTTTCTGTGTGTCAGGGTGTCTGTGTTCTGTGTTTCTGTGTGTCTGTGTGTCAGGGTGTCTGTGGTGTCTGTGTTCTGTGTGTATCAGGGTGTCTCTGTGTTCTGTGTGTCTGTGTCAGTGTGTGTTTGTGTGTGGGAGCTGCCAGGGCAGGGCTGGAGCTGTTTCCTGCTGCCCCTGGGCTTGGCCGGGTCCCAGCAGCGCTGTTTGGGTGAGGGAAGGAGCTGCTCTGCCCCAAACCACTCCTCTGGCTGCATCGGGGCTCTGCTCTGGCTGGTGACACAGTGCTGATGTCAGGAAACATGACACAGAGGGCAGGGAACCGTTCTCACTTGCAATCTCCCAGTCAGGGTAATCCAATCATAAATTACGTGTATATTGATTATTTGCTTTGTTCTTGCACATTTTACAGCGACTATTGTGCTGCTTTGTTTAATTACACAAATGTTTTTGTGAGCTTTGGATTGAAAATTTTAAGATGATTCTTGATTTGATTTAAATGGTAACTGCTCATTCATTAATCATGCGTCTATTTCCAAAATTATTTTTTTAAATTCTGGAAGTGTTCATGCTTAGCTACAATCTAGATGAGGATTATTTTGGAATTGTAGAGCATATTCATGCAGCCTTTTTTCCTGATCACTGAAGTGTAGATATCATGGTGTAAGCAAATAATATCCTTTGTGCTTCAATGATCTCCAGTCTGGATTTCAAATTTCTGCAAGATGTGCAGCCTTTATTGCATTTCACACCAAAATCTTTTAGAAATAGCCCTGAACAAGCCTGGCTCTCACAATGAGGATGTGTATTGAATATTGATTTAACTGCCCATGTTGTGTGCATATAAACATTTATCTGTGGAGGTCTTGAACAGTCACAAAAGATTTTCTCTAAGATGGCAGGAGGAGTGCAAGCCTAATTCTGGAGCTGCGAGTGCCTCTAATTCAGGATTTCCTGTGCCCTAGAGAATGGACACGATTTCAAAGTGCTTTTCAGAATGCAGTAGAGGTTGCCAGAGTTGATGTGGCCTTTATCACGTGTGTTGAAAAGATCCCTCAGAAAACATTCCACTACAGCTCCCAGCATTCTTTAGCATACCTCAGCTTACATCATCAAAATCAGAAATCCCACCAGGAGTTCCCAGCACAGCCTAAGGAAGCAGATTGTTCATCAGAACAGAAATGAGGAGTTGTGGTTCCCAGAGCAATCAAAATGTGACCATTGTGTGTTTCACGTGGGGACACAGAGATGCCCCAGTGCCCAGGACTCCTCCTGCTGAAGTGAAGTTGATGAGGAAACAGTTAATTCCTGCTCAGATTTGCAGTGAGTGTCCACACCCACCAGATGGAGCTTCGGGCTCCAGTGGAAAATTCCAGAAATTGAGTAAGAATGAGAAAGAAGTGTGTGAATGACTTAGGAGATGCCTGTCTGCTGGCCTGCAGAAGGTGGGTTTTAGCCTTAAATAAAGAATGAATGGAGGCTGAGGCATATCAGCCCTACTGATTCCTTTCACTCCAGCTGCCTTCCATAGTTCTTCCTCAGATGGGAAGTTGGGACTTCTTAATGCAAGAGTCAAGCTGAGGCTAGGCAGCAAGCCCAAACAAAAAGGTATAAACCAGAATTTCATACACCTTTGCTGAAAATTGCCTGTAACCACTGAAACAAGATGTTAAAAGTTTTTAGTCTCAGAATTTCCTCCCAAGGATAAGGTGTTTTGTTTGTTTTTTTTTTAGTACCACATTTTAGATGGACTTCTCTCCTGAGGCCATGTTTGTGTAGGACGTCCTGAGAAGTGGTGTGAAATGGTCCTTTTGTTTTGACACACGACTTGAAACTGGTTTTGGAAGTTGCTGATCTAATCTCTGAAGTGGTTTTTAATATTTTTAAATCCTTGGCTTTTTGACAAAGAGGCTGTTAACAAATTGCCTTTTTGCCTGTGAGGGAGAGCTGGAGTGTGTCCTGTGCACAACATGGCTCAGGTCTTAGAGTGCTTTGTCCAGGTAGCAGCTTCTAGCTGGCGATTTCTGTCAGCTTGATAATCTCAGTTTGGAAGCTGAGGTTTTTAGAGGGTGTAGTTTAGGGTTTGTGTTGATTCCTCTTTCAGGTGCCCAGTCCTGTTTTGGGTACAGACCCAAGCAGGAGGGCTGGGGCTGGCTCTGCACCCCAAATCCCTGCTGGGGCTAAGCTGTGAGCAGCTGAAGGACCACCCTGCCCCTGGGCTGGAGCTCCCTGCTGCAGGTGGCTCAGGGGCAGGCTGAGGAGGTGCTCTCCAATGGAAATGTCACTGTTACAAAACAGGCTCCCTCCAGGATTAGAGGGATTGCAAAAGGAGCCCTTAGTTGTCTGGCATTTCAGATGTGCTGCTGAACTGCAAATCTCATTACCTTCACAGGAGTGTGGGTGCACAGCCCTCACAAAACTAGGCCAGAAATGCTTAAATAAGGAGGAAAGGGAAGAGTCCAAGGGAAGAAAGTGAAAATGTTCAATGTCAGCCAGTGAGAGGTATGTTGGAATAGACTTTTCAATCACTGCAGGGAGGAGACAGTTAATTACAACTCTTACTTTCAAGGAAGCTCTTAGTAGTTTCTGTTCTCCCAAATTCTCTGTTCTCTCTGATACTTCTACTCCTTGTCCACTTGCTCACTCTTCCCTGAGATAACCCTTGTGCTTCCTGGCTGTCACTGTTCCTTGCTCAGCTATCCTGGAATTGCCAGGTCCCAGAGTCCCAGGGACAGGCCATCACTGTCCTCATGTAAATATAGAATATTCTACACCATCACACCACAGACCAAAATTTAACCTGCATACACAGAGAGGCAGCTTTTCTTGTTGCTGTGGGAACCACAGGTTCATTTTCTTGCATATTTTCCCTGTATTTAAGAGATTTCACTCAGTGTTGCACTACCAGCCATTTCTGCAGATGTTTCATGGCTGGCTTTCAGAGCCTGCTATGAAAGGGAGTTCACTGGGCAAATTGTTAAAAGTTACCTTGTTTCAAAAGCAGAGTAGGGAAATAAAAAGCACAGTATCAAGTCTTGTTTCATCTTGCTCAGGAGCACAGAGCTGCTGCCAGCTCTGATGTATGGTTCTGTGTTGGGCTGTTAGGTATAAACCAGTAACTTCTTCACCTTGAAATACTGGCAAAATACTGGCTAAAATCAAAGGAAATTGGATGACATAAAGTAAGAAGCATGCCAGATGCTTGGGGATCCTTGTGAGTAGCACAGCCCAGGGAAATGATCTTCAGTGTTTGGGAGACCCAGCATGGGCTGAAGTACTTCCCTGAGCTCAGCATCATCAGCCTGATGCAGTAATTGCCACTGATGTGCTCTCGAGGCTGATGGCTCCTCACCCACAAGTGTGTTTGCTGCAGGGAGGGCTCCCTGGGAGAGAGTTCATGTGGACTTGCTATACACACGGGGATACAAAGTCTGCATTCTGGTCAGAAAATGATACAGTGTGAAACAAAATAACCCATCATCCATGGCTGGAGGTGTGGATGATGCTTTTGGTGAAGTACATGCAATATTCCGATATTCCGTTTTGCTGTCATGTGAAGTATTTTAAAAATGTTGTCTTTTTTAATTTCTCAAAGTGTGTAGTGTCTTGTGTTGGAAGTGTGCTTGGCAGAGAAAAGCATTCTGTCCTTCAGGCTGTTCTGTCTGAATAATCAAGAGATTAAAATCTAACAATTTATATTGCCTTATTCCCTGACAGAGTAATTATTAATGACTCAACAAGTTTTGCTTTTATAAACTTTAGATTTGGTAGTTTCAGATTTCATGGTTCTAATGTTAGGTGCTGTGTTTCCAGTCTGTGCAAGACTGACTTTGTATCCGTGGGTGATGTCAGCTGGAGAGGGATCAGTCTTCCAACAAAGTGTGATCATTTACCTGCCATTCCCCCAAACTTCCCATCCCCTGCCAATTTTAATCGGAGTGTTTCCCAGAGGAATGTGTGTCCCCTGTCAGATGTTCCACTGTCCTGTAAGGTGGGACCCGTTTGTGTGGGAACACCCAGGGTGGTGCCAGTGTCCCTGAGGTGCCCAGGGCAGCTGTGCTGAGGTGCTGCCAGCTCAGGTGAGGTGCACATGGCGCTGCAGAGGGTGGATGGATGTGAGGAGGAGCATTCCCAGCCTCTGCACTGCTGGGTTTCAGAGCTGGTGCTGTGTGCTGAAATCATCCCACAGCGATCCTGGGCAGTGTCCCCCAGCAGAATCCGAATGGGTTTTTGGAGCACAAAGCTGCTCAGCACAGCTGCCCTGCACAGGCACGGGCTGGGCTTCGAGCCTATCGGTGTGACACTGCCCTTATGACAGCTCTTATCTCTTGTCTCTGCTCTGTTTTGTCCAGCAGGATATGAGCCTTCCTGTGTGCCCGGGCCGTGGGCTCCCCCGGGGGCTGTAACAGAGCCCTGAGGGGCGTTCTGCAAGGAGAATTGGCTGTGGAGGCTTGTGCTTGAAACTTGTCCAATGAGTGTGAGACGCCCAAGCACCATTCATTTTGGAGGTAAATGCCTCGTCAGAAGTACTGCAGACATGGGGAGGAGTAAAGATTGTCGTTTGGCAAAGTATGGGCAAAAAATAGTTGAAAATATAGTTTTGACTGTTCACTTCTGAGGTTTGGACATTTGGAACTTAAAGGAACACCAACTTGGACTCCAGAAAAATGGAAACGTTGGGGGGCTTTGGGTTCATTCACTCTGCAGCTTCACTGCAGATTAATTGGTTTGCTGGTTTAAAATTCTCCCTCTTCTGTCGGTTTAAAACCATCAGAGGTGAAAGTGAAAGCTGGTTTAGACAGCAGGAGAGGTGACTCTGGAATGTTAAACAAACTGGGGGAAACACTCTGACTTGGGATAGGGCAGTTCAGAGATCTGCAGTTTAAGCTGGCTGTCCCTTTAAGTTATTCCTTGGAATATGACATGGCTTATTTCAATCTCAAGTGAAATGTTTAATTTTGGAAATTCGGCTGAAATGTTCTTTATTAAGGTATTTTCTATCATTTGTCTATAAACTGATCAAAGTGGGCTGTATAAAGGGAGGGGAGGGAAGAATCCTGTGAAAAGATTAAACCATAGGAGGAAAAACCTCCAACAACGAAACAAACAAAAACAAATGAAAGAAAATACAGCAGTGACAGATTGAAATGTTGGTACTTGCCTTGGGTAGGGGAGGGAGAATCATTTGCATGATGTGTTTCATTGCAATTTACTTCATGTTATTGTTATTGAAATTGAACCAGGTTACTGATAGAATTGTAATGATAATGTACATTTACAAAGCTAATGAGTTAAGTTTGCTCTAGTAAACAGCAGTAATGTCCTGGCACCCAGCCCACAGAGAACTGAAACTATGGTACAGATTTGCAGTGTCTGGGTTGCACTGAGGATGCTGATCCTGGGCTCCCGTTGCTTTTTGATTTTAATGCCAACTGCTACTGAGAAATATTTAATACCCAAACCCAGGCTGTCTGGTAGAGAGCTACCCTTTTAATGAAGTAATTTTTAGCATAATCTGAATTTTATGTACTAATGTGTTACCACACTGCATGAATTTTTTTGATTATGGTGTTTGACTCTGCTGCAGCCCTTCCTTTTTAGCATTATTATGGATATTAAGGAATTTGGGGTTGAATTATTGGAATGAAAAGCATGGGATCATGATACAGACCTAACAAAGGCACTGGACCAGAGTAGAGGGTTTAAGTGTGTGGGGTGGGGTGTATTGTAGGGGAAAGGAACAGCTTTTAGAATAAGGGTTTGAAACATTGCTTTTTCTGTAGGAAAAAGATGGAGTATTGCATGCTGGGAACAAGTGCTTTCCATAAGGTAGCTAAATTTTAAAAGTACATTTGTTTCATTTTGTTTTAGGCTTTGCTTAAGTATTGTAATCTAGTAACTTTGTCCTTTCTGCAGTTTTCATTTTAAGTAGACCTCTGCAAATCTTTCTTCAAAACTTAACACAAACTCAACCAAAAAACTCAAACCTGGCCTACAATTGCAGTTTGCCATTTCTGAAACATTGCTCAGTGCTTGCAGAAAAAATATTTGAAGGTTATCAATGATGGTATAAATTCTTCCATGATTTCAAAATTGCAGGTACTAACACTGTTACATTTGAAAACATGAATGTGTTGGGTGACTACAGAGGAACTACCAAAAGTAAAAGCAATTTGTTCAATGTAGTCTCCATTGACACCTCTTTAGAAACAAAAAGCCTCAAGCCTCAAAACATCAACCCCAAGAAGCCCCACCCCTCAGGAATGCTCCAAATAAATAGTCTCATTTTTTTTCCCTTTGTTCCTGTGAATAGCAAGACATAACACACTTGGAGGAAGTCTGGGTAGATGAGTCAGGACTTATTTCATTAACTGCAGTTAAATGTTTTGGCCAGGTTTCCCCAGGAAACAAAGCTTACACAATTTTTCAGATTGTGCCTTGTCTCCTAATCCGTCCTCCCAGCCAAGAGAGCCATTTTCACCCAAATTGGGTGGAGATGGAGGTCTGGAAAGAAAAATGAACACCTTTTAAGTTGGATTAAATGTATTTGTCCAGGAAGAGAGGAGACAATTCGAAGATCCCCAAGTTCCCTTCACACCTCTGTCCACACACAGCCTGTTCCTCCTGGAGCAGCGATGCCAAGGGGCTGCCAGAGGCTCTGGGGGAGGAGGAGCTGCAGGGAGGGGACAGAAATGCCACTGACCCAGCTGGGGCCAGCCCAGGCTCAGGAGGGAAGAGGAGGAGCAGGGCATTGCCTTGACTGAGTGTGTGGAGCTCCAGAGGAGCTGTTGTGCCTGACTGAGTGCATTATCCCATGGATCCGATATTATTGCAGGTACAGCAGCAGCTCATGATGCCCCGTAAAGCTTTTCTTTCCCAGAAAGAAAAGCAGGCTCGTGCCAGGGAAAGGGATATGTTAAAAAAGAGGAGGAGGCGACAAGACTATCTCAAAAGAAGTGTGGAGCCGCAGAAAAATACAGAAACAATAAAATGGCACAGGGATGATGAGAAGAGGAGAGAAAATGAGCAAGTTAAGGACAAAGATATCAAGAAGCGGTGGAGACAGGATGAGAGAGAACGACGAAAGAATGTGGACGCTATGAATTGGCACAGGGAAGAGGAGAAGAGGGAAAATGAGCGAGGTAAGGACCAAGAAGGCCAAGAACCAGCAAAGAAAGGAGGAGAGGGGGAAAGAGCACGGATGGACCTTGTGAAGCAGCAGAGGATGATGAGGGGGAGAGGGGAAACAGAGGAAGAGCAGTTGTGTTTTATAAGCGTGCACAGAAATAACAGCAAATAGTATCTGTTGGTTTAAAATTGATTAAAAATCTGCTTTAATGAACTAGAGTTCTTACACTGCTGATTATTTTAGTAAGACAAGATTGAGCTGAGTGTGTCTGAACTCACAGTCACGATGGGACAGAACAGGCTGGGTTTGCACCTTGCTGATACAAATGTCTGTTTTGCACACTTTTTCACACCTAATGCTTTGTTCAGCACTGTAGTTGGTAATTCGGCTTGTCACGTCACCAAAAAGCTCAGGTTTTCTCAGTCTTCATAATGGGAATAAGTGAGAATATCAGGAAGAGAAGGGTCAATCTCAGGTGCTTGTAAGAGAAGGTAAAACTGATGCTTTATGTCATTCTTTTTAATTATATTCCTAAGAGGGTTGTAATCACATCTGCACAGTTTTATTCTGAGGTCAGTTATTTAGCAAAAGTTGAATGGAAGTGTAAATTTCATTGAATGCTTTTAAGAAACATTCAGCTCAAGAGATAAAAAGAAGAAATGAGAAGACATTAAGAAGAACTTTTTCCCTATGAGGCCCTGACAGAGATATCCCAGAGCAGCTGTGGCTGCCCCATCCCTGGCAGTGCCCAAGGTCAGGTTGGACACTGGGGCTTGGAGCAGCCTGGGGCAGTGGGGAGGTGTCCCTGCCATGGCAGGGCTGGGAATGGATGAGACTCAATGTCCCTTCCCCTACCCAGGCCATCCCATGATGAGCCTGTGAAGAAATGACTTTAGTGCAGGGGGGTAGCTGGAGTGAAGAGCCCTGGCCAACTCGTACAGGTCTGGGGTGTCTGAAAAAGATGAAAGGCCCTGGGCACTCGGGGGGTTGTTTCCAGCTTTTGGGGATCCCATCACTCGTTTTCACTTGTCATTTGCCAGTGCTGCTATCCCCAGACCCAGCAGAGTGCAGGTTCCTGCTCAGTCAGTGCTCAGGGTCCCCCACGTTCTGTGCCTGCTGCTCGTGGGAGGCTTCCCTGGCAGTGGGCAGGACATGGTGCCATTTCCAGTTCAGCATAAAGAGAATAAAACCTAGAGTAGGTTTGCTAGAAAACCAGAGTAGTGCTGTCATGGTTCCTTTACACAGCAGCATCTTCCCCAAATGGTTTCTTTAGGTCTTTATTTCTGGTTGAAAACCATTGTTTTACTCTGCAGCCTGTGACAGTAGAAATCCATTGTGCTTGGTTATTCTGTACCAAAGCTGAGACACCAACCAGGCACAGGGAGAGCCCTGAATAATGTCCAGGCATGAAGGGAACACAGTGGGGCACATCTGGAATAATGGCTGAAGGTTTCAGTGGAGAGAAAAAGGTTGTGTTGGTGTGAGGCCTGGTGCACCCTTCCCAGAGTCACAACAGCCTGGTTCCCTGTGGGTGCTGTGAAGCTGCACATGGGAAGATCCCTCATTTCCTGGGCTGGAGCAGGAACAGCCCAGCACCTCTTACCTGGGGCATCAAAGGGGGGTCCTGACCAGGGCCAAAGTACATAGGATACACTGGAGAATAAAGATTTCAGTAACACTAAAATAGAAGCAGCTTTTGCAGTGTAGGGACAGGTGCAGGCTTTCTGTCCTTTATTCCCTGTGATGATTTGATTGCTGTGGGGTTTGATGTTACTCCCTCTGTGTCTGAGGACACACCTTGTGTGGGGTCACAGTGCAGTGCTGGGGCTGAGATCAGAGGGAGGGCTCTGCACTGGCACAGGAGTGCAGTGAAGAAAGCATTCACTGCTGCAAATGTGAAAGGAGAACTTTGAGTACAGTGCTTCTAAGTTAGCCATCTTCTGCTCTTCAGTAACTTGTCTGCTCTGCTTCCATTTGGCTCCTGAATTGTTCTAGGAGTCAATACCTGGCTATGAAGACCTCTGTGCTGGGAACTGCACAGACAGAGCAAAGGAAGGTTCCAGATACTGCTCACAGTCCCTGTGCTTGCTTTGCCATTCCTTGTGCCTGGTGCAATCAGTTTGTGTGTACACACACACTGGACATGAGGGAGAGCTCAGGATCTGCCTTCTGAGGCACCTGGAGATCCTGCCTGGATATTTCTAGTCAGGGTGGTGTTGGAGTTGGTTTTAAGCAGTTGTTTCTTCATTCCACCCAGCACTTCAGTGTGGATTGATGTGGTCAGAGATGCTCCAGGTGACTTCCCTCAAACATCAGCTTTGGGTCAGATAAAGGATGCCTCATTTCCAGAGCAGCATTAATGCCTAGATAATTATTTGAGAGGCTGCTTAATCCCAACTGCTTTTATGTCCTCATCCAAGGAGGTGCTAGCAGAATGATGTTTACATTGCAGTTGGAGTTACTTGCTGTAAATAGAAATTGATGGAGATGCTAAAAGCTTTTGTTGTAGTCACAGCCTGTAATAATACCAGACTGTATCTGGCTCTCCACTCACTATGCTCAAATAGTCAGACATTGCCTAAATAAAATGAACTGTATTTGCCTAAGGAGGAGGAGGAGTTTTGTTACAATTGGGTGAGTTGGATTCACCTGTCCAGCAGAACTTGCCAAGTAAGGTTGATGTTAAAAGCTGACATTTGAAAGTTCAGGTTTCAGGTGTGAAGATCTAACTCTATCCTCTGTTATGATGGGTGGTGATAGGAAGATCCAGGGAATTTCATTTCATGTCTTTAAAATTTGACTGAGACAGGCAAGGGGGCTAGAGACAAGAAGCTGCTGCAGATAGATCAGAGATGTTTTCAGGCAGTTGTAAATAATTGGCTTTCTTTGAGTTTCTGTGTGTCATGGTGCCTGTGGCACGTTCAGCTGTATTAGACATAGGAGTTAAGAGAAGGCATTTGGTGCCTTTGCTGAAGAAGTCCAGTGGCATTTTGAAATCAGCTGTTTGATATCAGGCAGTATTTTGAGACTTGTGGCTGACTCGGATACAAGTGATCAGTGCCTAGAGACAAGCTCTGCACTGACTCTGGCTGTGTCACAAGACCAGAAACTCTTTTCTTTGCAAGCACAGGGCTTCATTCTCAAAGTGGGGACTTGGGTTTCAAGGAAAGCAGCCCAGCTTGCCAGGAGCTTTAGCATGCCCTGTGTTCATGCACTGCTCTTTCTGCAGTTCATATTAATCACATTAATAACATTGCTGATGATCTCCTTGGATTTGAAATTGACTTGAAAATATTAATTCAAATCCTGACCATACTTGATTGAGCTGCTTCACTGAATTTTTTTCTGAAAAATGGGATCATGCAGTAACTGGAGGTGTTTCTGAAGCACTGAAATCACTCTTCATGTCTTTAAAAGGGACCTGGCTTGCTCTAGGTTGTATTAAACATTGTTTTTCAGTACAGATGAGGATGGATAGAGCATAGGAAAAGAACAGTTCATGAGTTGGATTCCCTTCAGCTGGGCAGCCCCAGCCAGGCCCAGTGGAGCTGTGGGCACTGCTGGGAGGGAGGCTGACACATCCCAGGGACACAGAGAGGTTTTAGCCATCTCTTGTACTTTTCCCAGTGGTTTCTCTCTCTGGATGCATCTGACCAAGCTTTCAGGTCCTCTCTTCCTAGGAGAATGTTTGCTAAACAGCTGCAGCCAGTTAAAGCTCTGAGTACAGCAAAGGGAGGAAACAGCATTAATTCCTTACCCTACCTACAGCAGAATACAAGGATCTTTATCACTGAAATCTCTTGCAAGACTGACACAAACCTTGAGGCTCAGCTTGCCAGTTCTCAGATCAGTCAGTTAGGATACATTGCACAGGAGAGAATTGAGTTCTGAAGTACTTCAGTGTAGGGATTGGTAAAGACAGACACTAAAGAAATGGAAGTTATTTCCAGAGGCAGCCCATTGCTCCTGCAGTAGCTGTTCCATCACTTTGTTGTCTTTGTGGAAGTGCCCTCTGCAGCCTCATGGGCAGCCTCAGCAGGGAAAGAGACAGAGAATGTAACAGGGTGTATGGGAATGGTATCAGTTCTGGGGGGGAATGAGGAGACAATTAATGATAATTAAAAGTGTAGCACTATCAGACAAAACACATTTGACTTAAACCTTTTCTCTTACTCTTCTTTTCCAATAGAAACTATGTTCCAACTTCCTGTCAACAACCTTGGCAGTTTAAGAAAGGCCCGGAAAACTGTGAAAAAAATACTTAGTGACATTGGTTTGGAATACTGTAAAGAACATATAGAAGTAAGTATGGCACCTCCAAGGGGCAGAGCTAAAATGCTGCAGAGTGAGGGGGACAGGGAGATATTTGTGTATGCCATGATTTATTTTTAGACCTGTTTAGGTGCCACAGAAACATGAGGTACAATGTACCTGTACACACTTTTAGAAACATTAATGGCTACTGAAATCCAGTAATGCTGGAAGAACCAGGGATGGTGTGGGATGTTGGGGCAGAAATGGGGCTGAGGTTTTCAGGAAGTGTTTGTGCTGCAGCAGGTCCTGAAGTCACAGAATCACCTCTGCCTGGGTCAGTTCCTTTGTGCTGCTCTTCTGGACAAACTCCACTGCTGAGGCTCTGCCTGTTCTTTCAGTGTCTCTTTAAAGAGCATTTAAGTGAGATGTGCAAGAAAGAAATGCCAATCCTTCCTGCTTGCAGAATTTGTGGAGCAAGTCTCATGTTTAAGGGGAGGATTCTGAACTGGGAAATGTAACTTGCAGTATTCATTTCAGTGGAAGTGTTATTTTTGAGTCCTTACATGTTGCTGCTTTCATGCCAAAGGTGAAATGCCAAAGAAATGCTTCATAAGATAATTTTTTTAATAAGAATCAGGTGGACATCACACATATCCAACTTTAAAAGCTTCCTGTGTGAAATTAATTAAAAGCCAAACAAAACCAATCAAACCAAATAAATACCATACCACCACCCCCAGAAAAAGCAGCCAAAAAACCCCAAACCTATACATCAATTTGAGAACACTTTTCTCCAGGATTGCTTTTGGAATGAGATGAGTTTGTAACTACAGTGTTGGGTTGGTGAGGAGGGTGAATGCTGAAGATGTTGTGCAAGTGTTCTGTGATATGTGAGAATATTCAGAGCTCTCCCAGGAGGTGCCCCCCCAAACTCCCCCGCTGTGTGATGGTCTCTGCCTTGGCCAGCAGCCCCTGGGAGGGTGCAGGGGTGCTCAGGGATTGCTTAAGGGAGCCCTTGGGCCTTGGTTCTGACTCTGTCCTCTCTTCCCATCTTCCCTTCTCCAGGATTTTAAGCAGTTTGAACCTAATGACTTTTATTTGAAAAACACTACATGGGAGGATGTGGGACTGTGGGACCCATCGCTTACAAAAAACCAGGTTGGTAAGAGTTTCAGTGGGCACTGAGGCTGGACATGGGTCGTGCTGAAGGGCATTTCCCAGACATGCCAAGAGCTTTTCCTGCACTTTCCCTCACAGATTTTCAGGTATTGGCAGCTCAAGGGCCAGCAAAAAGCTGTGTGCTTTTTTCTTAGTTTTGTGAAGTTGCTCCTGGTGTGTATCTCAGGAGATGGATCTTTGTTCAAGTCAAACAGCTGCACCTTAGGAGTCCATTCCCACCTGTTCCCAAGTCTGGCACAACTTTACCAGCCCTCTGGCCAAAGGATCAACAACTTTATACAATTAGCAATGAGGTTTTTACCTTTCAATAAATGTTTTATTCCTGGTTTCCACCCTTTGCAAAGCTGTTTCACTGGACACTCTCTGCTGCTCAGGGCAGGGTCACTGTCAGTGCAGCCCTGGGTCCCACATCTGCTTTGGGCATTTCCAGTCCTGCACAGCAGCTCAGTGGCACTGGAAGTCCTGCCTTGTGATGTTTCTGAGCCAGTAATAAAGGAATTTTGAGTTGAGCCAGCAGTGGAGGAGGAGATGATGCTCTTGGTTCAGGCAAGTGGTGTGGGCTGCAGCAGTGACAGGTCAGAAACCTCTCTGCAAAGGAATCCCTGTGTGAGCACCTCAGAGCTCAGGTACTGCTCTCAGAGGAAACTGGGGTCCATCCTGTGATGGATTCCTCCTGTTCATCTGTTAGTACTACCTTTCATAAAAGATACTGATGTCCCTTTTTCTAGGTAACCCAGAATAGAAACTGTAATATAAAGGGAGACAGCTCTTGGTTGGTTGGTTGGTTTGTTGGGGCCTGTCTCCAGCAGATGTGTGAGGCTTCAGCAGGTGTCCAGAGGAGAAATTCCAGCTTGGTTCTGCAGAGGGAGAGTGCAGCTCCCTCCCCTGTGACCTGTGTGTAGCTCGGTGCACAGGACTTGTTCTGACATTCAGGAGGAATCTCTGTAACTCTGAATTCCCTGTGTTACCCCTCCTGAAGTGCCAGGCTGCTTGTGGCTGTTCCTAAGGCCTGTGGCACTTCAGACTGTGTTACAGCAGTTGACAAGAGCTGCATTGGCAGCGTGTTAAATAGGACAAAAGCTGCAGGCAAACTGCAAGGGTGGAATTCCCAAATTCCTTTCTGTTCCTCATTTGAGATTGATTTAAAAATCAGGTTTGTGCTTTGATCACAAAGAAGAGGCTTGGTGGCTTTATGGGCTTAGATAGCCTGTGTCTTGGTAAGCTTAAATCCTTTTGTTCACCAAAAAAAAGTTTGGACTTCCATCTTTGCTATTAAAGTGTGTAATGGATAAAGGCACTGAAATAGCTCAAGTTCTAGATCCATATTACATCTATCAAGTTTGGCAGATTCAGGTGGGCAGTATCTCATCTGAATGCAGTCTCATTTCCTCAAACAGCCCTGCTTGGCTTTCCCCCAGAAGGGAGCTTACAGGGACCTGTTCTTGCAGCTCAGCTGCAGGGAGGAGGCTTTTTGTGACTGACAGGGAAAGACACTTCTGACTCAGCCTCACCTGCCCAGGTCATGATCAAACCCTTGAGAGACCCCTTGGCACTCATCACATCGCGTGTGTGTGTTCATGTGATCAGCTTTTTAGGGCCTGATCTGCAGGCCAGAAGTGGGAGAGGAGCAAATCGAAGGTTTGAGGCAGTTGCAGGGGGGCTCGTGAGTGTTGTTTAGAAAGGTTGTGTAGAGAATATCATGGGTGTTACTTTGCTGAGAAGTGCTGTTGAGTATTTAGTCTGTGCTCTGTTCTCTGTTCAAGGACTATCGGACAAAGCCCTTTTGCTGCAGTGCATGTCCCTTCTCCTCGAAGTTCTTTTCAGCCTACAAAAGCCACTTCCGGAATGTTCACAGCGAAGACTTTGAGAACAGGATCCTGCTCAACTGCCCCTACTGTACCTTCAACGCGGACAAAAAGACTTTGGAAACGCACATTAAAATATTCCATGCTCCCAATGCCAATACACCGAGTGGAGGCATCAGCACTTTCAAAGATAAAAACAAACACGAGAGCCTTAAACCCAAGCAGGCTGACAGTGTGGAACAAGCTGTTTATTACTGTAAGAAGTGCACTTACCGTGACCCGCTCTACGAAATCGTTCGAAAGCACATTTACAGGGAACATTTTCAGCACGTTGCTGCTCCTTACGTAGCCAAGGGAGGCGAAAAGTCCCTCAATGGTGCAGTTCCATTGGGCTCCAGTGCCCGAGAGGAGGGGGGTATCCACTGCAAACGATGCCTTTTCATGCCGAAATCCTACGAAGCTTTAGTGCAGCACGTGATCGAAGACCACGAGCGGATCGGATACCAGGTCACGGCAATGATAGGTCACACCAACGTGGTGGTGCCGAGGTCTAAACCCTTGATGCTAATAGCTCCCAAACCCCAGGATAAAAAGGCCATGGGACTCCCTCAGAGGATGGGTGCCCTCTCCGCTGGCAGCGTTCGCTCGCTCTCGTCACAGCAGATGATGAACAGACTCACTATACCAAAGCCCACGTTAAATTCTGCAGGAGTCAATATGATGTCAAACGTTCACCTACAGCAGAACAATTACGGGGTTAAATCAGTCCCCCCCAGTTACGTTGGTCAGCCAGGGGGGAGGCTCAGCCTCAGTGGCAATGCACCTGTTTCTCTTTCCCAACAATCACAAAGCATGAAACAGTTTTCAGCGAGTGGCAATGGAAGGCCTTACACTCTGGGAGGGGAGCAGAGGTCCCAGGCCTCAGCCAGGTACTCGCTGCAGTCTGCCAACTCCTCCTCGCTGTCGTCGGCGCAGCTCAAACAGACGTCGATGTCGCAGTCCCAGGCAGCATCCAGAGCTCTGGGTCAGTCTGGCTCCAAATCCCCCGTGGCTGCTACAGGGCCTTCCGCTGTCAACACCTCGTCCACGCAGAAGTGGAAAATCTGTACAATCTGCAACGAGCTGTTCCCCGAAAACGTGTACAGTGTCCACTTTGAGAAGGAGCACAAGGCCGAGAAGGTGCCTGCAGTGGCCAACTACATCATGAAAATCCACAACTTCACGAGCAAATGTCTCTACTGTAACCGCTACCTGCCCACGGACACGTTGCTCAACCACATGCTGATCCACGGGCTGTCCTGCCCCTACTGCCGCTCCACCTTCAATGATGTGGAGAAGATGGCCGCCCACATGCGCATGGTGCACGTGGACGAGGAGATGGGACCTAAAACCGACTCCACGCTGACCTTTGATCTGACATTGCAGCAGGGCAGCCACACCAACATCCACCTCCTCGTCACCACCTACAACCTGCGGGATGCTCCTGCCGAGTCCGTCGCTTACCATGCTCAGAACACCCCCCCGGTCCCGCCCAAACCGCAGCCCAAAGTCCAGGACAAATCCGACGTACCCGTCAAAAGTTCTCCACAAGCAGCAGTGCCCTACAAAAAAGACGTGGGGAAAACTCTGTGTCCTCTGTGCTTTTCAATCCTAAAAGGCCCCATCTCCGACGCGCTGGCACATCACCTGCGGGAGAGGCACCAGGTGATTCAGACGGTTCACCCCGTGGAGAAGAAGCTGACCTACAAGTGCATCCACTGCCTGGGCGTGTACACCAGCAACATGACGGCCTCCACCATAACGCTGCACCTGGTGCACTGCAGGGGCGTGGGCAAGACCCAGAACGGGCAGGACAAAGGGACATCGTCCCGGCTGGGCCAGTCCCCGGCGGCCGCGCCGGTGAAACGCGCCTACGAGCACATGGAATTCCCCATGATGAAGAAGAGGAAGATGGATGATGATGACTCCCCCTCTGCCTTTGAGGAGAAGCCTGAAGAGCCTGTAGTTCTAGCACTGGACCCCAAGGGTCACGAAGATGATTCGTACGAAGCCAGGAAAACGTTTCTTACAAAATATTTCAATAAGCAGCCCTACCCTACTCGGAGAGAAATTGAAAAGCTGGCGGCCAGTTTGTGGCTCTGGAAATCTGATATCGCATCTCACTTCAGCAACAAAAGGAAGAAATGTGTTAGGGATTGTGAGAAATACAAACCCGGGGTGCTGCTGGGCTTCAACATGAAAGAGCTGAACAAAGTCAAACACGAGATGGATTTTGATGCTGAATGGCTGTTTGAAAACCACGACGAGAAGAATTCCAGAGTCAATGTCAGTAAGACTGTTGATAAAAAAATCAACTTGGAAAAAGACAATGACAGTTCCTCAGACAGCTACGAAAACCTCGAGGAGGAATACAACGAGAGCCGCAGTCCCTTCGGCCAGCGCGTCTCTGACGTGGGTGGGAAAGCCTCGTCCAACAGCTCCGTGCAGAAGCCCCAGGACAGCATAGCCAAGGAAATCATGGAGGAAAACATGTTACAGGCTCCAGAGAAGGCTGAGCAAAAACCAGAGGAAAGCTCTAAATATGAAGAGATGATTGCTGCTGAAGAGCCAACAAAACTGGTAGGTGATGTTTCAGATAGTGAAGGTGATCAGGATGACCAGGATGATGCAGTGGAGTGGAAAGATGGGGCTTCCCAGTCTGAGAGCGGGCCTGGCTCCCAGCAGGTGTCAGATTTTGAAGATAATGCATTGGAGGTAAAGCCAGAGGTGTGGACAGATGAATCTTCCCAAAGCGAAGATGCTGGGAGCAGTAAACCCACTGTGGAGGCCAAGGGGGGTGGATCTGAGAGTGATGAAGAACAGTCAAAGTGGAAGAATCGTTCCTATGGAAAAGTAGAAGGGTTTTGGTCCAAGGACCAGTCGCAATGGAAAAACACCTCCGAGCTGGAGGAGAGCCTGGCCAGCGAGCAGATGGAGTGGCAGAGCAGCACAATGGACAGCGAGGACGGCGACGGCTTCGGGGCTGTGGGGGCTGAGCCCATGCACGGCAGCCTGCCCGGGGTGGAGCTCAGCAGCCAGCAGGCGTGAGCCAGGGTGGCTCTGCCCCGAGGGTGGCACTGCCCCGAGGGTGGCTCTGCCCTGTGGGTGGCTCTGCCCCGGAGGTGGCACTTACCCCGAAGGTGGCTCTGCCCCAAGGGTGGCACTGCTCTGAGGGTGGCACTTACACCGAAGGTGGCTCTGCCCCAAGGGTGGCACTACCCCGAGGGTGGCTCTGCCCCTGAGGTGGCTCTGCTCTTTGGGTGACACTACCCCGTGGGTGGCTCTGCCCCATGGGTGGCACTACCCCGAGGGTGGCACTACCCCGGAGGTGGCACTGCCCTGGCACTGCTCCCCTGCTGCCCAGGGTCACATCCAGACCTGCAGGCCGAGGGCTGGCAGCTGCTGCTGGGATGAGCACAGTAACTTAATGTGAAAATGGAAGCGCTGGTGACTCCAGAATGCACAGAGAGAAAAGCAGAGCGTTGTTTTATCTGCGTTTTCAGCCCTCCTCTCACCTTGTCCATGTTGAGTTGTGTCTTTCCACGAGGCCCCTCTCCGGCAGTGCCCTGTATAGCAGACTCTGGGGACATGGAGTTTTCATGTATCATTCTGAATAGTTGAAATGTATATTTGTACAGTCTTTTAGACCTATTCAAGTGAAGCTTATGGAACTGTTCTTGTGTACCCATCATAGATCTGTTTCTCTTTTTTAGTGTTGCCCTGCTGTGTAATAAATGCTGTATCTAGTTTCCCTAGCAAAGCTTGAGACTGCTCTAGTATCAATTTTGACAGACTTAGTTTTTGCACATAACCTTGTACAATCTCCAACCAGAGGCCAGCAACATAAAAATATATCTGGGCTCTGTTGTATTATAGAATTTTCTTGTTCTGAATATCCTTGACATGACAACTGATGAAAAACATATTTCAGAGCCATTTTCTGAAATCTTTTAAGCTAAAAAAGAAAAATCACATGCAAGAAACAAGTTTGCAGCTACTAATTTTGACACCTTTTAGATCTGTATAAAAGTGTATTGTGTTGAAGCAGCACACAGACAAAGTGCTGGGTTTGGATATTTAGTTTTATCTTTAGTTAACACCAACAAGGTGTTGTATTCATTTATACCATCTAATATATGACACACTGTTGTAGTATGTATAATTTTGTGATCTTTATTTCCCTTTGTATTCTTCATTTAAGCATCTAAATAAATTGCTGTATTGTGCTTAATGTAAATATTTGCTTTATTACATACAAGTGCTCCATTCCTGGTTGGTAAATCCCACCTCACTATATTCATTCCTTCTTTTTTGCCTCTGTTTTTCCAGGTGCTCCCCAGCCCTGCTGGGGCCTCTCTGTTTAGTACTTACTCAATACTTATCTCCTTCAAGGTTATTGAGAACCTACAGAGTAACTTGGGCTGAGATGTGTTCCTGTTCTGTAGAACACAGTTATAAATAGTATTGTACTGGTTTGCTTGTTCTGCATCCTGGGGACAGGAGCTCTGTGAATTCCTCCATGAACAGAGATTTGCTTCCACCTGGAAAATCCTTCCCTGGGGGCAGGAGGGCAGAGCTTTGGAACACTGACCCTTCCCACAGGGAGGAGCACGAGCCTGGGCCAGCCTGGAAGGTAAAGTAACTGAAAAACTGGAACTGAGTTTATTCAAAGCTGGTTTGGCCAGGCCAGGCCTGCAGTGTGGCTCCTGAGCAGGGGATTCACTGAGGGGACTCTGCTGTGATGAGAAAAAACCTCCTCAGTGCAGTGGGGAAGTGCAGCAGCCTTTACCTGTTTAGCAATGACACAAACAATGTGGTATCCTTTTAGCAATGTGCATCACATTTGTCTCAGTACTTGGCAAGGTAATCTGAGTATCAGCAAACTCTGCAGTTAAAAATCAGATTTCAGTGTTCTGAACTCCTGGGTGTAGTCAGTGAAGAGTAAGACTGAAATACAAACTCTTTAGGAGTGTTTCATTTGCCAGAAAATTCCAGGAAATACCATTTTATACAGTGATTAAATTAAAGGTTTTGCACATAACAATTCTCTTACCAGGATATCAAGGATGGAGAGTGGTTATTTTAAGTCTTGGCATAAACTTTCTAGTATTTCAAACTGGTTACTCTTCAAATCTGGCTTTGAGGCCAGTCACGGGTTCCTCTCCAGATTTGAGGCTAACCACAATTTTGAGGAAGTCAGAAAGGGGAAGAAAATAGCTCAGTAAAACTGGAGGAACCTTAACCCAATGTGTGTAATTTAGGATATTGTTCTGTGACCTGGATGGGCTGGAAGTTACCCACATTTCACAGCCCCTCTGCAGGCCTGGAGCACATCCTCACCAGTCAATACTTGACCCTTTGACACGGATTTTCGTGGCAAACCTGAATACTCACCCAGTATTTTTATAGAAGAATTCTGTCATTCTTGCTATAAGAAATGAGCAGGTTTCAAATACTCATTAGTTCGGTTACAGGCAAGTTTCCCATTGTGTAGAACACACATTTCACATACTGCTATGGTAGGAAAACAAATTAATTTCCATTTTAGTCAGAACCAAAAGATTTCAGAAATATGTCATGTGCTTTGTCTCTCCAGTTTTGTTAATAAAGAAGCTGATATCTGCCTAAGCAGATTGGTATAACCAGGAGTATTTTGTTCCTTTTATAACTGATTTGCCTCTCTAACCCCTCATTTGTGATGATCCATTACAAGAACCTGCATTGCAGGGGCAGAGGCAGCCACTCGCTCTTGTCTCTATTGCTTTATATTTTAATTTGACTTTATCTTTCATCATCAGTCCCACTAATAAATATGAAAAGGTTGTGTTCATTTATTTCTGCATCAGAAGAGCTTTGGTCTCCATGGTTACAGCCATGCAGCTTTACTTTCACCATAAGCTTGGCTTTTTTTTTTTTTCCCCTTTACAGACTTTGCAGTGGGTTCTCCATCTTGAGCTTCTCCACAGGCATTTGTAAAACAAGCATTTTTTTCCATTTCTCCATATTGTACTTGATGCAAAGCCAATCATCTAAAAGGTACATCCCCTCCTTGGTTCCCTGTTAAAGAACTTAGGGGGTTCAGTGTTCCTGGGCCTGTTTTGAAGTTAAAACCTCACAAATGCTGCAGTGCAGGGATGGGCTGTGCTGCTGCTGGTCCTGCCTAAATCACACCTACACTGCAAAGTGACGCATCCAGAGGTCCAGAACATCTGCACAGACAGAAAGTTTATTTCTGTCATCCAGGTTATATCACACAACAGATTGTAAAATACTGCTCCTGGTGCAAAGTGTGCTGGAAGCTTCAGCCACGTGTTGTTTGTGGCATTTTAAAATTCTGCCATACACTTCATGTTCTCTTACAAAATCTGAGTGTTTGTGGAGCTGGCAGTGTTGGCACAGGACTGGCAGGTTTGACAGGCTGCACTAGAGCACTCCTCAACCCTCTGATCATTTCAAATATAAAACATGAAGGGAAACAAAGTGAGCTTTTGGACATTGTCTTCACTGATTTTGGAAGCTCAACCAAGTACAGACTCCTGGGATCAAATCTTGGAATAAATCTTCCTTCTCCACAGAGCTACAACAGGGTCAGAAATGTGTGCTTCCCCTTAGAGCTGCCAGCCAAAGCAGAGATGTAACAGTCAGGATATCCTAAAGTAATGAACTTTTAAGAATAAACTCAGGCACCTTTCCTAGAAACCTCTTGGTTATCAAGAATTACTTGCTTTGATTTTTGGTACCTGCACAGTTCCCAGAGAGAAAATCTTCAGCTGGGGAAGGCTCTGCAGGTTGGAGGGGCGAGGTGCTGCCAGGGGCTGTCTGAAACAGAAACAGGGCAGAAATTCAGCTTCTTGCTCAAGAACAGGAAATAATACTTGAGGGAATTGTCTGCTGAAAGAGACAAGGAGGTGGAATCATCATCTCAGAACTGAAGTTGCTCTCCAATAATAATAACTGACTTTGTAAGCAGTGCTGAAAATGTGAAGTTGTTTACTCTCACACCTGATTCTACAGACTTTGAAATTGTCTTAGCTGGGTTAATATTGAACAGATAAAAATAGAGTAGAACACGGGGGAAATTAGTTTTAAAGCACAGAGAAATGCAAATGGATTAATACCACTTGAAAATACTGACTACAGAAGAAATACAGAATGGGATTTGGGCTTGCTTCTGGGGGTTTTTAAGAATTCAAATAATTGATTAATCCCGAATTGAGGAGATAAAATAATTTCTGTAGTGCAGCAATCCAAACCTCTAGCTAAAATCCCAGTCTTGGTGGAAAAGAAAGAGCCTGTCTTTCCCCTGAGGTTGATGCTCTCCAGGATCTAAACTTCACCTATTTCCAGAGGCCAGTTTGCTATTTAGATTAAATCCTCCCGTGTATTTATGTGCAATTCTCATCCCTGTGTTTCATCACGTCCTTCCCATGGGCACAACTTCTAATGTAACACAAACCCAAGTTTTTCTTCTCCGACTCAGCCTTCACGAGCACTGGGAAAGACAAGCTGAAGAACCTGAATTGATCATGGAAGTGCTACTAGTCATGACCTGCACCCCTGTGAAACAGAAAGGACAAAAAGCCTGAAGCAAAGAAACTGAGAGAACATCCAGCTGTAATAATTCATGGTGGAATATGAACACTGTCATTGTCTTCTCCAAAATAAAAGGAGAGAGAAGGAAAAGTTCCAGATCACTCAGCTTTCCAAGTAAAATAATCTGTGCCTCATTTCTAGGGCAGCACTGCCAGTGGTCAGCCCGGGAGCCAAGGGCAGAAATGGGGCTGTGAATGACAGTAATTAGGCTTAACGAGCTGGGTGCCAATCTGTGCAGAAAGCTCTGGCCAGAGCAGCCCACGGGCACAGCCTTGAAAGCAGCCTCGGGCTTTCCCACAGCTCATGAAACCACTGTCCCACTCTGGTTTGGAACCACTTACTTGAGAGGTAGTGAGAGCACTTACTATCCAAAATTCCTCCAGAAAGATGAGCCACAGTTGCAATGAGAATTTACTATTTTTTTAGATTCCTGTGATAGTAAATCTGATACTTTGATGTCTAATACCTTACTACATCTATAATATTGCAGCTGTTTTGACTCACCTTCCCCTCTGACCTGCAGGTACCACGTATTTTCTCTGTACCCCCTTGCCA